AATGATTAAGATTTGTTTCTACTAATTACACTGTCCCTTCATTAGTGTATTTTTTTATCATACTCAATTTGCAGTTTTTCAAAGTTACTGATTGGGTTGGAATGCCTAAACATTAAAAGTAGTTAAAATCTTAAAACTAAAAATATTAACTTGAAATTAGAAGCTGAGACAATTCCAATATTTAAAAAACCATGGGTCTTAGAACCTGAAGCAATAGAAGATGGTTAGTGAGAAACATGACCCATATGATATAATCTATTTTTATATATTAATGTTGTATTTGATGTAGCTTACTACAGCATTACAAGACTTTCAAAATGCTGTGGGTTAAAACCTTATATTAGCATTGTCTATATTCTCTACTTGGTAATATGAAAGGAAAAGACAACATGTTTTGAAAAATGATATAGAGTAATCATATAAACTCTAAAAATATGTTTGGTTTGGTTTGATCTCCTTCCATTTCCATCTCATCCCTTTCCATCATTTAGCTAAGTTAAGACTTTATTTCCTAAGGCTTCTTAGTATTTTAGTTTTTGATTTATATGTTTTTTTTATAATTTTAAAATATATAAAATATTAATTAAAATAAATATTAAATATATTTTATATATTTTTAAGATGTTAAAAGATTAAAAAAAAAATCAATAATTACAGTTACAGACCAATGCTCTCAAATCAAGCCTAGAATTAAATAAGAGAATTGAAAGGGAAAAAAAAATCTAAAGGAAGTTTCTTCCTTCTCATCCCTTTTTAATTTTTTTGTAACTAAATAAAGAATTTTGCTTTCCTTCACTCTATTTTCCTCAAACTGATCACACACCAAAGGTTGGATCTAGTTTCAAGATTTGAATCTTGAGGCAAATACTTAAAAAAAAATTAATTTTCTTAGAATACACTAGGTAGATGTAAGGCTACACTTCTAAGATGACTTATGGAGGAATTATTCTCAAAAGCCACTTGGACTATAATAATGTTGTTGAATTAATTTATATGCACCTTGAAATTAATTCTTCTTTAGACAAATTTAGAAGTATATACCCACAATGGTCTAGTGTATTAAAAATATTAGATTTTTTGTGAATGTTAACATTAAAACTTGAATTACCTAACTAACTTATAAGACCACAATTGCCTTTTTTTATTTTTTATTTTTGGTTGTATAACAAGAGGCAAGGCACTCTATCCCTTTAGCCCCATACGCATGCCTACTGCTCAAGGCCAAAACCTCTTATCCCCAAAGGGAAGATATTACCACTAATTTGCTTAGATAATTGGCTATAAGATAACAATTGTTTATTCATTCCAAATAAGTTTTATTTAGGCGACACGGCAATGTAATTTTATTATTTGATAAAAATTTAAGAGTTTCATTAGTAATCAAGAAAAATTGCGTAGAAATCCCAATAAAATGAGACGTGTAGGCGTAACAAAGTGAAGGTAAATCTATAGAATTAATACCAAATGATTTTGCCCATGACATATATGTACAAAATACAAAGAGTCATTAATTCCCACAAATTACATAAGCAATTGTTTTAAGAGAGCAAACAGACCTAAGTGAACTACCTAACTATCCATTCAAAGCATTTGAGAAGTCTTATTTGACATTTCAACTTCTAGGGCAAAAAAATTTATCAAGGACCTAACTCCTCTAACTATATTGTCAATAGTCAAAGCAAGCACTACAACTGGTTCAAGTCTAGTTAATCCTACATTTGCATTGTCTTTTTCCTCCTACAGGCAAACTCAATATAAAGGCATTGAAAGAGACGAGAGAGAGACTTCTAAGAGAGAAGGGAAAACTCTCAAAAAGAAGAGAGCAACCAAAAGTGAAAAAAACCTACATTTATTCATGCCTCATAACCACCAAAGGAGATAAAGGCGACAACTATGGGCAAAGAAAGAGCAAGAGAGAGCGAAGGGGATCATTGCAGTGTAATTTTATTAGAATTATATATAAACTTTTAATGTTTTTCAATCAAGTCCTAAATTTTCATTTTTTTTAAAAATAAGGCAACAATTAAAGGAAATGAACTTCTAACATCAAGAATTTTAATCGACAATTATTTAAGATTATGACATCCATTTCATCATGATCATCTAAACAAAAACATCCATTTCATTATGAAAATTAAATTAAAATAGAAGGCTCACAAGAGGTGAAAAAGAAAAAAGACAAAAACCAAGGACCTCAAAAGTAATTAACAACCATCATAGTTGAAGGAGTATCTGGATGGTTTTATCAAAATCAGATCTCGGAATTCCATATGGATCTCCTACTCTTTTGCTCTCTCTTTTCTCTCCATTACAAATCTTTCCAAGAAAAAACAATTCTGCTATTTCTCAAAAGCTCCATCCCCAACCATGACACCTGAATAGTATGTACTTTCACCTATTTATTGTTAATTTATACAGAATATTACATGCACTTCAGTATCTGTTCTTGCATAATTTGATTCTTCTTTTCTTTTTGTTTATTTTTTTAGGTTTAAATGAATTAATTAGTCTTTTTTGGAAGAAATTTTGACTACGGATTGAAGTTTGGATCTTACCTTTTATATTTTGCAGTGACTATCTTTTCAAGCTTTTGCTCATTGGAGATTCCGGTGTGGGAAAATCATGCCTTCTATTGAGATTTGCGGTACTCTGGATTTCTCTTTTAGATTCATAATCCTCATTGGTCAATTTGAAATAATTGTTTTAATCATTTGTTGCATTTTTGAAATGACATCATTATTGATGCCTCCACTAACTTGACAATTTTTTAGATTGAAATTCACGTAACTCTTAAAAACTTAAATTTAAGGTATTAGTAGTAGTCAATCGTGACTATTATTTAAATTTCAATTTGGGCATCACAATTTATTTACCAATAGAATATGCATTCCATGTAGATTGCCTATGCCCAGTCCCATATTCTAAGTTGTATTTGGCTAATGGAAGAATATAACATAAAATTTTCTTGATGAGAGATTACTAATTAATTCCCATCATGTTGATATGTTTGTAGGATGATTCTTACATTGAGAGTTACATAAGTACCATCGGTGTAGACTTTGTAAGTATACTATACATGTTGACATTCAATTTAATCCTTCAGATCAGAATTAAAGAACATAAATAGTCAGTGACAATGTTGCTGTTTCCACACATACTTATCTTCTGTGTGTATCAGAAAATCCGCACTGTGGAGCAAGATGGAAAGGTCATCAAGCTTCAAATTGTAAGTGATTACATTTTGTAGCATTAGTTCGCGATTAGAAACAAGAAAAACCAATCTCTCTACACCAAATTTGATCATATCAATATTTTTTGGTCATCAGTGGGATACTGCTGGTCAAGAAAGATTTCGAACAATCACCAGCAGCTACTACCGTGGTGCACACGGCATTATTGTAAGGATCGTTTCGATCCCTCTCCAATCTTTTCAATGAACATTTCTTATATGAGATTGTAGAAAATTATAACGTTTTGACAATTAAAATGTCATGAATAATAATAAAAAAATTAAAATATCTTTAATAAATTAACATACTGTTAAGATAAACTAAATTTCACTTTTCTTTTATATATAGTTTCTGCTCATGAACAACGTGTATATTGTATTATGTTTGGGTTTTTTTAGATTGCCTATGATGTCACGGATGAAAGCAGCTTTAAACATGTCAAGGATTGGCTGGCCGAGATCAACAAGTTTGCTACTAACAACGTTAATAAGCTCTTGGTAGGGAACAAATGTGATTTGGCTTCCAAGAAAGTTGTTTCATATGAAACTGCAAAGGTAGTTAGTTCTCCTAATCTCCCTTAATTCTGTTTTTCCCCCAAATCTAATCTCTCATTTGCGTCCCCAAGGCATACGCTGATGAGCTTGGGATTCCATTACTGGAAACAAGCGCCAAGGATGCTACTAATGTAGAGCAGGCATTCATGACCATGACTTCAGAAATTAAGAGCAGGCGAGTATGATCATAGACACGTTGCTTGTGTACAGAAATCTTCATCCGTTGATTTCTCTTCTTTCTTGTTGCAGAGTTGCCAGTCAACCAGCGATGAATGCCACCAGACCAACAGCCACGGTGCAGATGCGAGCGCAGCCCATCAACCAGAACACTTCCTGTTGCTCATCTTGATCTGTGACTCTCAGAGGTTGAATCTGCCGCTGCTGGAAGAAATGCATTAGAATTCCCCTGGCAGATTCTGTTCTTTTGGGGTAACTTAATAGTTATAAGTTCTGATTTCTAATTGCTGTCAGAGATATTACATACTAGAATGAAGAAATGGTCTGGAAGGATTTTCACAACAATAAAGATTCCACTACAATGTTTTTCTATATTTTTCCATGAAAAGAAAAGCAAATCCTCAATCCATACATTCGTTTCAAAATCTAGACAATAGTCACCAACGAAATAAATCCATATGTTGCAAGACAACAAACAATTTGAAAAACTGGGGAAATTTTATGTGGCCAGAGTAAAGATTAAAACAGCAGAATACAACTGATTCATCCTCTCAGTCACTTTCTGCCTCGGATCTTCATTGCCTGCCTGTTCCTCTTCTTGACACCAGACTTGGCAACCTTAAGACTCCTGTTCACAGCACTCAACCTTGCAAGAGCTGCTTTCTTTAGATCTGGCCTGTAGTAGTTATCTCCAACCTGATATGCATGAAACAAGTTGACAAAATTAAGTCTTGAACATTGTGTATAGAAGGTAACACCTACAGCAAATTGAATTTCAAAACACATCAACAAAAGAGACAAACAAAATCATGACGACAAGCTAGTGTTGAAGACATGACACAAATGACTAGTTCACTGCAACTCTTAGAATCATTTAACCAAAAATGAAATAGCAAGAT